CAAACATATAGGCTATGATCAATTCACTGTCTGCCGCTGGCCGTTATTTAAAAAACAAACAAACAACAACTTACATTTAACGACCAAAAAATGCTCCAAACGTTTTTCTAAATTTACTTTATAAAAACAACGAAACGAAATATAATCACTTTTTCATTACATACACAACTCAACAATTTTAATAGCTGAAACAGTAGTATAAGCTTTTTTGGGGGAAAAGGGGAAAAAAGGCCTATATTTGAGGCCCGTGCAGGGCTCTAATCCACTTCATCCAACGCTGTTTTGTTCTCATCTGTGAGCATGCTCTTGATATATGTATTTTACCATTTTGTTGAGTTTAAAACGTGACACATTCGTCCTGCTCTCACTGATCATTTGGTCCCCCCCACAACATGAAAGAAAGCCATTATAACATGTACATGAAAAATTTTGAAACATTGGACACAACTATGGGGCACCATTGTGCAGCATCAAGCATCACAACAAAAAAGGAACCTCAAGTTTGATCTAGTGTGAAAATGTGTGCAAATGTATAGGGCCCCATTCCTATATTTTGCCTGGGGCCCCCAATTCACTAAATCCGCCCCTGCATTTCAATGCTAACATTTTGAGAACATTATTAAAGACCAGATAACTTTAAACATTCTATTAATGTTACTGAAAAACGTTCGAGAGAACCTCACCAGAACGTTAGCCAAAGTTCTGAGAATGTTCCCTGTTGTTAGATCAACTACTAAGATCAATGACATATAATAAAGCATGTAGACAGAGTGCCTCTTGCCACGATTTTCTTTGACCAGCTCACTGAACATCTGGTTTAGGTTTCAGGGAAAGAAGGAACTTCTATGTTCATCAGCATGCTTAAAAACTTAAGTATCCTGGATCTAAATGGACAGTTTTTGATGAGTGTGATTTTAACACAAAATTGCCACCAGAGTGCAATATTTTGGATGCAACTGTGTATTTTTGTGTGTTTATGCCATTTCTGATTAGCATCTGATTCAAAGTCAATTACATCTCCAGCTAGATTTTTACATTTTCTAAGTTCAAAACTTCACCACAAATCACTGAAGTATGCAGCATCACTAAAGATACAGGATATCTCCTACAACATTTATCATTATTAATCAATGACTAAAAGTTTCTAAGTTAAAATGAATATCAGCAACTTTATATATCACAGAAGACCAAGCAATTTCCTATGTATTTCATCACTGTAAAATCTCTGACAGTGTTTCCTTTTGCAGCGGAGGCAAAACCAACTGGGGCCGTAACTTAACCGACTGTATCAAAAACGTGGCGTCTCTCTGGCCTGGAAAGCTGCCATGAGAGCTGACCTGACTATTATACCTCCGACTCTGGATTACCTCAGATCTGCATTCTGCATCAGACCCTCTGATAGACTGTGACAAGCGAGTGATGAATCTAGCAGCTGTCCGAGATGCTTAACTCACAGAAGAAGACGTGTGAATGTAAATAAAGACAATTTCTTGGCAAAAACAAAAGGCAAAAATGAAGCTCAATGTGAAAAGCATCTAAGATATTGTGACCATACTTAACCCTTCCACCGTCGTACGAGCCAATATGCAAAGCAAGGCAACTTTAAGACTGTCATTCACTGACAGGCCCTTTAAAATATCTCTGCAGGGAAACCAGCCAACTCAAATGTCCTCTTACTGTTTCCAAGCAAGTTTGTTCCTTGAGATCTGCAGTGATGAACTAAAACTAACAATGTTCCAACTTCTTTTTGATTTTAGATTACATTTAATTCTTTAAGAGCGCAATAATATAATAACGATCATAACCTCTACTTCCTCATTAACTATTTATTTTAAAACTAATATTTATCCATATTTAATACGGAACATTATAATGTTGTGATGCCACTTAAACACTTGAAATTGAGAAATGTGACAAATAATCTTTTTTTTTGGACCCATATATCGATCAACTTTTCATTATTGGTGCATCCCTAATTATTGTTAAATGAGAAAGTCACAGTACTGAATACTAGCCACATTATCTTAATAAAATGTCAGTCACCTGCCAAGTCACTTCAACTAAAAAAAACAAAAACGGTTACAGAGGTATACAGATTGATCAGTCAGCCAATATGAATTTCAAATTTTTAAACTGTTCATATATTGTATTTATTATTTCAGTCAAATAGACGTTTGGTGATCCAGATCCTTATAGATAGGCCTATTAATATGAAAACAGAGAAGACCAAAATGTCTCAATCTCATTCTGTCAGTCGAGTTCTGTATTGTGTATAGGAGACTCTTTACACTTCTACACGCAATTATCAAACACATAGGCCTACCATTACAATATATAGTGGTTTCATTAATAGAATAACGCGCCATGATCAAATAGCATGTGTAGTTTATAACTTTGACCACCTCAGACCTGGACAAAACCAGACAATTCAGTCCTGCGCGGCCGCACACACCGACACTCCCAACTTTAGTGTACATATTTTTTACACGAACCATAGAAAGTATATAACACACTAACCTGCCAACGGTCTGGTTGGCGAGCTGCTTCATGCGGTTGAACTGTTTCTTCATCTTGAATCGTCTTCAGCCACCAACATATAAAACTTTGAGAAGTCGCTGTTTTATCAAACTGCCGCCCGCACGCGCGACGCTCCCATTCCGCGCGCACAACTGGATCCGAACCGCAGAATCTGTGTCATTTACTGCTCATATCCATTTATAAACCGTGCGTCAAACGTGTTCCTTTCGTTTCTCATCCTCTCGATTTCTGGTTTAGTCAGTAGACAGCAGTAATAGGAAGTGCAGTTCACTTCCCTAGTGTGGAGCACAGTGGGTTGTGACACATGACACCTTGACTGAGGTAGTCCGATTAAATAACACTCTTGTTCATATAATCAGATGGCTTTGTGGATATAAGTTAAAGGTTCAGATTTATGCACACACACACACACACAAAATTATAAATAATCCATTCCCTTTAAATCCATTCATTGTGTATAATGAAGTATACATTACCGTATATTATATTATAGCGCCATCTTTAGTCCGAAGCACAATAGCTGCTGAAAGCGAAATTTAAATACGTTGTTGTTGTAGTTGTCATTACATCTCCACTAAGATTTAACAGAAATTTGTGCAAATATGGATAATAAATCCTTATGCTGAATACAAATGTGGAAAATATGATTATTGAACTTTTAGACAAAATCTAAAAATTATATTTAATATGCCCTACATGTTTTATGGGATATAGCCTAGTATGAATACAGCAGAATGGAGCTCATACTCAAAAAACAAAGAGCAAAATTATGGAATTTATTGCAGTTGTTGATAATTATGGCCAAATATTAAGAAGAAATTTTGATAGTTTTTTTTTGTTGTAAATTGTAAAATCAACGAGATGTTTATAACAGTAGAACAGACTTAAAAATGCATATAAATGTCTGTTTTCACACTATATCTCCCAATAATATAATAGTTAAAAGCTCAGTTGTATGATCAAAGCTCTAGTAATTCTAGGGGTCAAACCATTTCAATACAATGACCGAGAGATTAACAAATAAACCTTCCTCAAAAATGTATCACATTTGATACTCACATTTGAACATGTTTTATGTATGGATAATCAAGTAAACCTAAGTTGTTTCAGTCCAGTAAGTGTTCATTTTGAAATATTACTATAGCTAAAATATGAAGAAAAACGGTAAACTGTCAGCAATTTGACATTTAGCAAGTCAACATAATCCATGCACATTTAAACCACATATTTATATTTAAATCCAATTCATAAACGTTCATACTGACATTGAAGAACACTAAACATATAAGACGAAGTGTTATTGATTTACTTCTCGGTCAGTTTCAATGCTACCACGGATTAGACTTTGATTAAAGTTGTCTTCTGCCACCTAGTGACCAAAAATCTTCCATTTCCAAGCGCCAAGAGTGAAATTTGGCCTTCACAGTATAGGACAAAATAGTCAATTTTTCCCCCCGTTCTTGCCACAGTGTAAAGTGATCCATTATGTTTTTACTTCTTGTTACAGAATAAGATTCAAACTAGTTGCAAATGTAGATGTGATCGCATGGGCTACGGCTTTAATCTCCACTAGACCACACTTTTGGCAGCGCCTGAGCAAAGTTAGTAATTTTCTTTGAATGTTCGATTCATTTAATAACTAAGAATAACAATGTGCAGTAGGCCTAAACGGTAAAACTATTTGCGCTACAAATCTGTATTATGATTATGATAATGAAGTAAATGCTAACAAATAACAGTGTTGCAGTGTCAAGCAGCATGACGGACTGTTTTTGTACAGATAAAAGAACAGAAATCATTTCCATTACTAAGTAACTGATTCAGGTATTTAACTTCTACGTGTTTGTAGTTTTCCTTGTAATCTATATAACCAGCACAGGTTAACCTTTCTGCTGTTTAAGTAGTTTCTCTTCAGTTTCTCGTCTAAATTAGCTGTTAAATTTTAAATTCCTTCCATATGAATTCTTTACCACTGGTCAGCATTTTACGTTTATTATTAGTCTTTTCAATCATCAATTGCCCTTAAAGGTCGTTGAGCAATTCACTCCCATTCAAATGTAGAGTAGCGTCCTCCAACATATTAGGACGCAAGATCCATTCGTGCCTCAGAAAGAATGGCTGAAGACAACGTGAAGCTTCACAACATGGAGAAAGCTCTGATGGATAAGATGGGACAACATGATGTGAGAGAGCCGAACCTGTTTGAGCGGCTCTTTCAGCCGTGTGTAGCCGAGCTGGTGGGAACCGCTTTCTTTGTGTTCATCGGATGTGTGTCCGTCATTGAGAACGTGGCGGACGCCGGCAGACTCCAGCCTGCGCTGGCTCACGGACTCGCAGTGGCGGTGCTGATTGCATGTATGGCAGAGATCAGGTGAGAAGAAATGTATTTTTACTCATGGATATAGCATGCTGTATGTGGCTGCCAAAAAAGAACAAAAATAATAAATATTATAAAAATAGCATACCGAGTGTGACTTTTCAAAAAATGTGTCTTTTTGATTGTTCTTTTATTGCTTTTTATGGCTTTCTTATTTGTGAACAAAAAAACATGTAGGGTACACTCTAAAAAATGCTGGGTTAAATACAACCCAGTGCTGGGTAAAATAGGGACAAACCCAGCAATTGGGTTGTTTTGACCCAGCGGTTGGGCTAAATGTTTAACCCAACCTTCTGGGTAGTAACCCAACCGCTGGGTCAAAACAACCCAA